GAATCCGCCTCAACAATATAGAACTTATCAAATACCATTTTTATTCCACATCCAACTTTTCTGGAAGCAGATTGATGCAGTACTGATTATTAACTGCTAGTAACAGAAAACTCAAAATAAGAAAATACCCTGGATGACAGACGAAATATTGGATCTAATGGAGGAACGTAGGATACTAAATCACAGCAAACAAGCTTATAAAGTCAAACAGCTATTAATAAGACAGAGAATCCTTGAAGCAAAAGCATCTTATCTGGCCATCCAGTCCAAAGAGATAGAAGACCTAGAAGCGACATATGACTCTTTAATATGTATAAAAAGATCAAGGAAGCAACTGGCAACTCACGATCAAACAGAGCATCGGGAGTACTGTGTGGGAAAAGTGGTAAAATAGTACAAGGATTGCAACAAAAACTAATTGAATGGACAAATTATATAACGGAACTATTTGAAGACGACAGAATAGCAACACCGCCGGCTTTAGAGGATACAGAAGGATCACAAATTACATGCAGAGAAGTTGAATATACTATTAGGGGGTCAAAAAGTCGCAAAGCGGTAGGACCGGATGAGATTCCTTGTGAAGTTACAAGCTAATAGACGACCAAATTGGCCTAAAAGTGGTCACAGATTTTTTCAACAAAATATACACTAAATTCCCATACGACTGGCTAAAATCTGCGTTCATAACAATACCAAAGAAAAGCACGGCTAAAAAGTGCGATGAATACAGAACCATTAGTCTAATGAACCATATATTGAAGCTATTTTTGAAAATCAATCTTTGTCGGATATATGCGAAGTGTGAGGATTATCTAAGTGGAATACCAGTAGAACATCATAGATAAAGACGAGTACAACATCTGGGATTTCGATATTTCAACAAAGCAAGAAGGCAAATGCCTGCTTTTAATGCAAAAAGGCAAATATCATGCATAAGTATGATACCCCTGTGATGGCTGATGGAGTCTCTCTACCAAACGTGATATATGATTCTGGGCAAGTCTCCAGGGATTGGTTAAGGTCTACGTTAGTTGCCATTCCAAAGAAAGCAAACCCCAGAAATTGCGAAGACTCATAAGCCTGATGAGCCACGCGCTCAAAGCGTTCCTTCGAATAATTCTTTCAAGAATCTACAGAAAGTGTGAGGATATGAGTGGAGACACGCAGTTTGGATTTATCAAGGGACTTGGTACCAGAGAAGCTTTCTTCTCAATGAAATTGCTCGTCCAAAAGTGTTACAAGCAAAGGCAGGATGTTTTTGTCTGCTTTATCGATTATCAAAAAGCTTTTGATAACGTAAAGCACGGACCGCTGCTGGAGAGATTCCAGGAGATCGGTTTATATAATAAAGATGTTAGAGTAATAAAGGAATTGTATTGGAAACCGCAGGCAGAGGTCCGTATTAATGGCGAGCTATCAACGGAGACCTTTGGTATTTCGAAGGGAGTGCGTCAGGGATGTGTACTGGCACCCATTTTATTTAACATTTATGTGGAAGAAATCTTCCAACTAGCATTAGAAAATGAAACCCGAAGTATCAAAGTCAATGGCGTCCCAATAAGCAATATCCGCTACGCAGATGATACAGCTATCCTGGCTAATAACCTTGAAGACCTCCAGTCAATACTAAATAAAATCAACGAATGTGGTGA